GGTCAGCAACCCTGGGGGCCCAAATGGTTCAGGTATCTTTGGGCTACCACTTCAAACTTGATGAAATATGTTATTTTTTTTTAGAAGAACAATATCCGCTTTCAATAATATAGTTTAAAAATCATTTAAAAAAATCCACTTGCAGATTCGAACAATGTTCATATAGCTGCGATATTTTGAATTAAATCATATCTTGCTTTGTTATGTTTTGTTTGATGTCTTCATATGTATTTCAATTGCTTTAGCAAACCTTTACTGGCAACATTAACATTATTTATACATCTTTTTGAGGTTGACAGGAAGGCGCGGCGATCAACATGAGAGGTTTATAAAATGATTCAATAGCTGGATCCATGACTCTTATGAAATGACAACTCCAGCAACAGATCCTTCAATCAACAAAAAAGAAACACAAAACACATCTCTCTAAAATGATCTACTCCAGGTTTCATTAAGATCTTAAATTTAGTCTCAACATGTTTCATCATCCACCCCCTCATCTCTATATAATGATAGCTGAATTGGTCTCAGACATTGTTAGTACTGTCATTATTTTGTTTTGTCTTTTTTACGTAGTTCTGTTTTTATGTAATGAACTGCCGGAGATCATTTCATAAGACTCCTGGAGGATCATTTCATAGGGACCCAAGTAAGGGGTATGTATTATCCGCAGGTAAGGCACAGCTACAAGTTCATGGCTTAGGAATACAGTTCCATGGAAAGCCCTTTGCTCCGTGATGGCGGCATCACCTCTCCTCAATCGCATGGCCTTACTTTCGGACCTGTTGCGGGTTGGGTCGTGCATAGCCAGTCCCGTCCCTGCCTGTGCAAGCACGGCGATAGCCAGAGATGCGGCCCTGCGATGAGGTCTCTTCGTGCACGGAAGACGGCATGGAACGCAGGGGGTGCGACGGTACGGCTATGATCACGGTCCGGGGTTACGGCGTAGCCGTAGACGGCGGCTCGACTGCTTCACTCAGTCATGCGGCAATGAGTAAAAAACCCTCGTGCAAGTGCACAGAACAATGTTTAACTTAAAACCGTCTCCTTTTCGGGCCAACCCGCCTTCAGCTCTTTCATGTCCTCTTGGCACTCCTGGTAGCTCTTCCTCACCTCCCGCGTCACCCGCCTGGCGAACTAAAGAGCTAAGGCATTTCATCGACCGAAGAAGGTCGCGCCTCAATTTCCTCCTCTGAGACCGCAGCAGCGGCTTCGCCTAAGCGGTGACCAGTTGGTGACCATACTACAAGCAAACAACTACAAATAGATCCACCATTCCATTTGGGAGAGTCTGGAAAACACACGCCAGACGGCGTCACGTGAACCGACATCCTCAACGTCGGCACGGCGCGCGTCTGCGTTCGTGTGCTGTGTGGTCGGACACCGAGACCAACGGGTTTCACGCTGCGATTTTGGGACCAAACCTCCTTGACCGAACGACCTTCGCGGGCCATGGTGTGCCATCAGTTCACTCACAAGCCCTTGACCAACGCAGGCAGGTGATTTTCGGTTTCGATGTCTTTCTCCTGCATGGACATGAACCCCCCAAAAGTCCAAAGGTACAGGTGAGAGGGGGGGATGTCTCCCGAAAGAACCCCCCAAAAAGTCCCAAGGCGCCCCAACACAACCTCGGCCAACATGGATTCGACGTCTCCCACCTCCATCTCCGGTGGCCATAGTTCCGCATCACTGCGGAAGAGGACACCTGAGGACGGCTGTGGGGAAGTGTCCACGACTCACGGTCCATAGTCAAGGGACCTGGACTCCCCCAAGTTCGCCCCAGCTCTGACCCCTCTCCGGGCCTTGTGTGTCCCTCTCCGGCGCCACAGCCACGGGCTTGGCCGTTCGGGCCGCCGCGACCGGCGCCAAGCCACCTGACCAGCTCCGGTTCGAGGCCATGGGAGTTCTTGGCCGATTCTTTCCCTATAGGGATCCAAGTACCTTCTCAGGTTCGGTGATTGGAGACCCTGCTATGTAGGTGCCAGGAGGGTCCAAGTACCTTCTGAGAAGGTACTTGGATCCCTAGGGTTTAGTAGCGTCCTTGCTCTCGGAAGTCCCTGCTCCACGGAGTCTTCGAAGACGGTCACGGTCCTTGTTTTAGTTAGTATAGCGTCCGATCGCTCCGTTCGTAGCGATGCCCTTTGTTACTAGTGGCGTCCTAGTTCCTAGTAGTAATGCTCAACAGCTCTCAACACCATCACGTCAAGCGTGATAAATTGTCAACCGCGAGTCTGCCAAATCATTTGCGAGTCTGCCAACGCTATGGCTCAACATCCACCCCCCCCCAAAAAAAAGCGATTTGACCCATACATGGGCACCCACCCTTCCACAAGCCTTTCCGTTCTGCTTTTGGACATTGCAGGTCTGACGCCCCAAAACCCGACCCTTCGTTCCCCCGGCCTTCTCCGGTCCCTCGCGGCGTCCCCGCGGTTCCCGCGGCCGCGGGCGGCGCTTCAGCTTCACCTGACCCCAGACAATCGGAGGTGCGGAACCGGAGGCCGCGGTGACCGCGGTGACCGTGTCTTCGTTTGGGGTTCGCGGTTTGCGGACGTTTGCCACCCCACCCCAGTGGGCGGCCTCCAAGAAGCCCTTGAGGTGAGTGCTTTCTTTGTGCGCCTTGAAAAGGGTGACACCTCTTTGCGTGTTGCTTTGGGGACCGGTTTTCAGGGGCCTCAGTCTCGGGTGATTCGCAAAAGGTGGGGCCGATCCCATTCTGCATCAGGGTCGGCGTGGAATTCTGGCAGACATCCTGTCTTGTCCAATGGTCTTTTGATGCCCTCACTGTCCAAAAAAGAAAACGGCATCAACCAGCAACGCCTAGTAAGGAGTACATACGAGAACTAGAACCAGGGTGTCTGTAAACCACCAGTTCCGTGGTGCTGAAAAGGGGATCACTGATTCCTTATACAGTGGTTTCAGAGGTTCGATGGCACTGGCACCCCAAGATGTCCTTTAGATGGGGATCCATAATAAACCACCGAACTTGGGGAAACTTGTGCCATCGAACCTCTCAAGCCACTGTATAATCGATTGGGCCCACTGGGCTCCCCACTCATCAGCTCCAAGGAGCCACTCCAGCGCCGTGACAAACCCACCACGGAACGGATTTTGGTGGGAGAGGGAAAGACCTTATGGTCAGATATGAATCATACATAGTGGTTCCCAAATAGATAGAAACCGTTTTCGAAAAGTACATGTTTACTGGGGATCTACGTTTCTATCTATGTTGCGGCTCTTTGGGTTCAGTGTTGCGCCAAACTTTGGGCGAGGAAATTAACATTGCTTCATGATGTGTTGCTTGAAAGTTAGTGCCAATGATATAATGTACACCCAAGCGGCATTGAAACCCTCGTGACTAGATGGGCAAGATGACTCATAAGACTCATAAGTTTCTGCTACCTACTGATTAACACGTGTAATCAGCAAAATGGCAAGGATTTCACTTGTTCACACTCCTCCAAGTGCTTTTCAGCGCGCTGATATCTACCACACCAGCGTAGAAAGACATCAACAACTCGAAGGAATCATCTTTCATGTAATTCATGTAGCTTTCTTTCCTGAATATATAGATCCAGCAAAAGGAATTCCCTTTCGGCTCCTTGAACTTGATATTCCTGGTGTTTCCAAGCCGGTCCGACAGGGCGGAGAGAGTGAAAGACACCGGCGAGGTCCTCCTGCCGTTGAGGAAGAGGAAGAGGAAGTTGAGGAGCTTGACGAGATGTCCTGCCATCCGAATGTGGGACGGCACCCCGACGTCCCTCCGTGCACCCAGATCATTGGAACTACTGGGACATGTTCCGGCCCATGGATGTGCCAGCATCTGTCCTGTGGCCTCTCCTTCCGCTGTGCTGCAGCAGGTGGAGGTGCTCGCAAAGATGCTATGGGCAGATTGTCAGGGTCCTGGCGTGACATGACCATTTTGGAAGCTGGGCCAAGAACGCAGAGACACAGAGCCGAGCCTTTGGGCCATGCTGTGCTGCAGGTGGCGGTGCTTTGCGAGCACGTTGCAAAGCCCAGACAGGCATATTGTCGTCAATGTGTTCAACGTCCTCCATCAACAATGTTAAGTGCTAAAGACAGAACACACAAAGCTTCGGCCCTCTCCTCACGTTGTGCAGGTGGAGGTGTTCGCAAAGACGCTATGGTCAGATTGTCAGGGTCCTGGCGTGAAATGACCCTCTTGGGTGGGGAAGAGGAGGGAAAAAAAAAGCACATATACAGCGCCATTTTCGGGGCCTCTCCTCACCCTGTGCGGTAGGCGGAGGTGCTCGCAAAGCCCAAATAGGCATAGTCTCGTCCATGTCTTCAATGTCCTCCATGAATGACCATGTTGGCTTGGGTACAGGGTCGGGCGAGGGTCTCACGCCCCGAAACCCCCCACAGTTTTGGAGGGGGGAGCTAAGACCCCCTCCCCCGGCCTGAACTACCACATCTGCCCAGCCGGTCCAGGCCGGTTTTTAGCGTGACATCAAACCCAGAAGTCGACCAACTGGTACGTGTTTTTTTGGGCAAGTTGATCACAAGCGTGCGCGAGACAAACAACTCGCTTGCTCGCCCGCTCACTCATCGTAATGATCCTGTAATGACAGGGCGAAAACATCACAAAACAACAAAGCTCTGCGGCATCACCCGCCCCCTGCAGAAACACATTCACTCCTCCACAGCAGCTGCACCTGGTCATAGGTGAGGATTGTAAAAAGTAAACAGCAAGGACCATGGAAAGCTCCACCACCTGACCTCTTCAAAGCCTCTTCTGCCGCCAGCACCTGACTCAACAAGGTCCTACCAATGTCTCCCCCCACCCTTCATGCCTGGTGCAGAGGACGGTCTTTGACGGTGGGGGATGGGGGACCAACTCGCCGAGCCCCAATGGTGGTGTGAGTTGGACTGGGAAGCTCGGGTGGCACATGGAGGCACCCCAGCCAAGTCAGAGCTGAGCATCTGAGCATCTGACCAAGCAAAAACAAAAGCAGGACCTGGAGTGGGATGGACTTGGCAAGATTGGCTTCCCTTGAGAGGTGCGTGAGTCCAAGCAATATAAGCAATGCTCTAGCAGCTCCTAAAGCTGCAGTCACAAGCTGCAGTGGTTCAGCGGAAAGGCTTCGTTCGCACGGAAGCTGTTCACCCACAAACTCTCCTGTATACAAGAAACTCCTAGCTCTGGCACTACTGGTAGCGACGACACTTAACTTCCCTCCCGGACCCTGACATGTATGGAAGGACGGAGCTGGGACAGAAGCAAGCACACTCGGCCGACATCATGCCTGAACAAACGGGCCACTCGCCACTCCTGACCAATGGCTTTTACAAGGGGGTGCAATTTGCCCAATCTCGTCGCTGGAGGGTCACGAGAATCTCACGGCCAATCGACATAGTATCCTCCCAGCACTCGCAAGGTCCTCGTCGGGGGCGTCTCCAAGCGGCTCCCCCGCGTGCGTGCGCGCGCTAGTCGCGCGGATCCCTGGCCGCCTTCGTCTTCTTCGTCTTCATCGTCGCCTTCGGCGTCATCCGAGCTGGAGCTGTCACTGGAGCTGGAGCCTCGGTTTCCGGAGCCTCGAGACGTTGGTTTTTCTGGAAGGACTTGGAGAAAAAGCGCGGTGCTGAGACCGACAGTGGGGCGGGGTTGGGCTTCCTTGGCACCAGCCCCACCGGCCCCACCTCCCGGCCACCGAGAGCCACGACGCGCCACGCCAACACCCGCAGAGTGAAACACCGTCAGTGTGCGAAAAAAGGCCCTGCCAAGTACGACTGTTAGAGGCCAGCAGTCACAAAGGGGTGCCGAGCTTGGAGGATAGGGGTGCCCACTTTCCACTCACTTAGGTACTAAAAACAACCCCTTTGTGACTCCTGGCCATTGGTATCTTATTGCATATTATTCTATAAGCGTCTCTGCTTGGCCTCTCAGCTTGGCTCTCCGACTGCTGCTAGTGCTGCTAGACTGCTCGCCTGCAGATCGCAACGTGGGGAAGTTTCACAGCCCTGGTTAGCGCTTCTGGGCAGCTGGCTAGCGCTGGTCAAAGTGGTTAGCTACGAAAATGCCAAACAATGATACAAAACACTTCTGGTCGTGATCACCCTTGTCCCTTTTCGATTGATTTCTTTCCTCCATGACCCTTCACCCTCACCCAAACATGGGTGCGGTTCTGTCGAGAGGATTCAACTCAGAACTTTGGATTGCAGGACGTTCGCTCTGCTAACCGCATAACCTCAGACTTCGGCGCATCATTGATTTGCGCTTTTCGATGCTTTTCTTTGCTTGGAAAGCTCTGCCTTTCGGGGTGGGGCCCTGATGCCCTCCATCCGGCCTTCCAGCGCTTCACCAGATTCAGCCTGAGGGTTGGATTCGAGGCGGGGAATAGAAGTGGGAGACACGGCCTGCTCATGGGTGTGGGCGGTGTAGGTGCATGAAAATGCCTCTTGAGCAGGACTTCAAGGACTTCAGAATTCCGCCAAGGACGCTTTTGGGATCCCATGTCTTTGGTGAGATCGAGTCCAAGATCCCCAGGCCAAGCCGATCAAAGTGACACCCATCACCGCCATTTGAGACTCACCAGAGTGCCTATACCAGGCTCCAGCGACTGCCGACAGCGATGGCCAAAAGCACTTGGAGTTTGAAACAGGACCATTCCAATGGCAATCTAAATAATCAATCATTGAGACCACATGACAGACAGAAATCACCTCCGGATCAGTGATTGAGGGGAACCTCCCCAATGGAAAGTGACTCAAATCCCTGTATGATGTCACACCACGAAAGGGTGCCAAAGTTTTGAAGATTCTTGACTCCTGGACTCCCATCAACTTATCTGACTCCTGAGTCGTTTCCCTGGAAAAATAAAGATCAACCTGTTTCTACTGTACCTACCTGTTCGCTCCCAAAAAACGTTTGTATATAAAGGTTATCCTCTGACTGGGTAGGTTATACTCATTGGGCCAGCCAGGGGCGGCCTCATTTGTCCACCGAACAGCTCTGACCACCAGGGACCGTCGATCCGGACGGGGTCACCAAGGACTCCTCGAGCACGGAGGCGCGCGAATTGGACGGTCCAGGTGAAAGGAGGAGCAAAGGTCCTCTGCCCGACCCTCGGCGACCAGACCGGGAGCCGACCTGCAGGGGCGCCGGCTCCGCTAAGGGCCAGTCCACCTCAGGAGCCATTCAGGTCCCCTCTCAGCAGCCTCCCGCAGCTGCCCAGAGTTGTTTGTCATCAACCCCCACACCTGCAAAGAACGAGTGGGGGAACCTGAAACTAGGACTTGACCGTCCCAAAACGAATGATTTTCAGGTCCCCAAGTTGGACCACCCAAGGACTGTGAGCACAACCACCAGTAACCACCACCCAAGAAAATCCCTGTGGTGTGCACACGCACCACATCTGAGTCAGGGTGCCGCTTTGGGTGTCAAAGGCCACTGCCTCGGCGCGAGCTCTGAGTTTGCAAACCAGGTGGGTAAGAGATGTAAAGATTGGCACAGTGCCTAGCTATTCATCTCTATTCTCTTGTGACAGGGGGTCTGGTCGTTCTTCTCTCATCGATCTTCAGTCATCCCATACAAGTATAGGGCATAGGGCATCACTAAATGATACTATATGCATCCCTCCCATGAGAATCTTATCTCCGACAGTAGGGAGGTCCCCACGCCCAGATGGCTATTCCCATGGGATCACCATTCACCTATCCTTGTGCTGTTGTCGCACCAGATCCACCACCCGGTGCCCCCGAAACCGACCTCCTCCACCGGCCGGGCCGGTGGCACTCCCGAAAGCACCCAGGGCGCCCGACGGCGCGCGGCCGGTGAGGTGCAACAGGTGGGCCTCCTGCACCTCGTCCTCGCTGAAGCCCTCGCTCCAGCGCTCGTTCGGCGCTCGTGCGCCCGCGCGCTCTCCACGTCTCCGTGCCGGGGCGACGCCGCCACCGGTGGGGGCCCACATGGACGTTGTAACGCCACGTGCTTTTGAGAAGCATGTTCAAGCACGCCGACCGAAAGGGCGTGCCGAAGCCGACAGAACCGAAGGACCAGGAGACGACCAGACTCGCAGTGTCCGTGGCCAGGAGCAACTACACGTCCGTGGTCCATAATTATGGAGAACCATAACACCTGTATGGTGGGACATGAACTAGACCGCTGCGACCGTGCCCATAATCCAGGAGACGTTGTGACCGTGTACGTTCTAACTCGTCACCATGGTGAGAAATACCCTGGAGCAGCAAGTGATTTGGGGGCCCATCAGCGAACGTCGATGGCACAACACACCACACGATGTTAAAGAATGTTTAAGACTGGTTCGACCAACTTTTACTCGCAGTTCTGAGCGATTGAAACTTTGGGATAGAAAGCTACATGGGTTTTGATCTATACAAATCTCCTTGTCCAACCAGCTTGGGACGCCAAGCTTGTCTTCAATCATTTTCATATGTTTTAACTCTGGCGTTTATAGCCTGCACAACTCGGCCATGACGCAGAACGACGCAGGCTGCTCAACCAGGAGTCGCGAGTTGGAGTTCCACACCCATCTCTCGTGGGCGGCGCAATGCAGAGCCATAACTCGAACAATGGGTTGGGTGGGATTTCCAGCTCCAGCTGCTTGGGTTTGCGTCCAGTTCTGGGACACCCATGATAGCACCTACCCTCTCCACCTTCGCAAGCAGGAACTGCTTCTGCACTGCCCACTCGCCTCGAAAGCCAAGTGCAAGCGCACGATCGAACCGTCGCCCCCCCCCGTGCATCTTGCGACATCACCACGGCTTCGTCACCAATTGAGGTCTAGGCCGTTAGGCCCTTTCAGTAACAGGGCTGGCTCAAGGTGTACCCAGTTGGCAGTGGCAGGAAGACCTGAAGACACTCATGCACCTGGCATGTCCAACCCAGCACCCACCTCCCGCTGGATGTCAAAAGGGTCTTTGCCAAATAGATCAAAGACTGTCAATCAATCACTGGGTACAGCTCCAAATGCACCGTCGATCGACCCGCCGCAGAAAAAGGACATGCATATATATATATATAGAGAGAGAGAGAGAGATAGATAAACTAGCTCCACCTCCGAACCCACAGTCGGCCGCGGCGACGCTTGGGGCCCAAGGGCTTCACCCAGAAAATGGAATCCTCTGTTCCAAAAAAGGGCGATGTTGAGTGCTAAGATGTTAAGATGTGTTTAAGATGTGAAAAAGGGGTTAAGATGTCCCTCTGTCCCTCCGTTACAAAAATTGAATCCTCTGTTGAGTTTTAAGATGTTTAAAATGTTTTAAGACTCATCCCGTGACTGGATCCCCCTCCTGACCTCCTGCCAACTCCGCCGGGCCCCGAACTCCGCCGAGCTGTAGGGTGCGTGAGGAAGCTGGCAGCCAGTTCCACCTGGGGACCGGCAGTTGGTGGACGATATAGTTGCTTGTTCAATTCACCAGTGGCAATGGAGCTGGATGGCATCAAGAGTAATTACCGATTTTGTTGAGGAGCGATAGCCAGATGAAGTCGAGTGCTCTGCCAGCGTCCCTTTCAGCATGACAGCCACTCTGGCCCGCGCTTGCATCTTCCGACCCTGCTCGCGGAAATTCCGCGCGACTGGGCCGCCACACCCTCTCCTCCCACTCCCCTTTCGTCGCCTCGCTCCGGTGGCTCCGGCAACAGCCACCCGCCGTGGAAAGGACCGACGGCCGGGGGGACTAGGACCGAGGGGGGGGATGACCGGGGCCAGGGGGGGGGGGTCAATGAGGCAGAAACGCTGGGTGATTCACCAGGACTTCCAGTGGCCAACATCGAGACATCGAGTCAGTCTTGCAAAACATGTATTCAACACCACTTTCGTTCTCTGGAGAATCGCCAGTGTGATATGGAGATTTGGGGGGCGGTTTCTGCATGCAGCAAAAGCACGCGAGTCACACAAGAGAACTGGGGGGCCCGGGCTCCCAACATCTGGCATGGCATCCGTTCGCCACGGCAGCCATCGCAAGTGTATCCAAAAACTCTCCGAGCGTTGTGTGTTCTGCAAAGCTGCTGTGACTTGGGAAGATCTCCAATGGCTTGGTAATAAAACGCGCATCACGCTAAGCAAGCTGCTAAACAAGAACTGAAGCATCAGGACATCTCGAACACCTCCCTATCCAATTCTTTTTGTGGTCCATGGCGGCTCAGGTCCACCATTTCTTGTACACATTGCTGAGGTCCATGGGTGGTCAAAAGCGGCTAAGGGGGCCATGGGGCCATGCACTGGCAGCCCAGAACTGGGCACTTGCAGCAAACACCCTCACAGTCCCAATCTTCTAGCAGCTGGAGGCTCTGAAGCGCGATGTCCCTCAAAACCAGACGGAGAGTCATCAAGAGGGTTGTTGGCTCACACTGCGCGAGCCATGGTCCTGATCCTGCCCTTGTATTGGTGGCAATGCTTCAGCTTCAACTTCTCCAAAAAGAATGGGATCAGTATATTAAAAAGCTGATGAGCTGCGCCTTCCTCGGTGAACAGTCTTCCAACTTCTCTACCCTTGGTCTCATGGACCCTGACGCAACTCACCAAATGACTGCTTCCCTGTGGAAGTGGAGAAGGGGCTCTGCTTCTAGAGGAAAAATGATGAAAAATGGTCTTCCGACAGGCCATGCCATACACGCAGGCCATGTTTAGTTCGTTTCATCGACCTGCGCAGGCCTGGTCTCGACCTGTTGGGGTCCAGTCCTCCGGCTTCAGGGGCCCCGTCGGCGAACACAGCGGAAACCGTGTGATACATGCATCAAAGGTTTGATGACATGACCAGAGCATCAGGGAAATGATGTGAAAAGCTTGTCTTGACATCGCAGCTCTTGACATTGCAGCTCCACCAAGCTAAACAAACATCCTCTTCGTGTGAAACTGAGCCAGGTCTCCCTCAAGCACCGGTCCTATACCATCCCATACCTGGAAGGCGGTTGTTAAATATGGTTCAAACACACTAATGAAATCATCATTTCACCCATCTTCGAAAACACATGTTCTCAACCCCCAGATGTTGCCTTTTCCACACACTCGTGCATTCGTGGAATGTCTCCCAACACACGCAGACCCGCGGCCGCCTTAGGCGAGCCATCGAAAATCAGCGGCGGCGTCTTTTGGGCGTGCCGCGTACAGGCGGAGAACCAAGAGACTCACCACGGGTTCACTAACGCCTCCCGGCGTTGGGTTCCTTGGTCGTGGCTGACCCGGAAACCTGCTCTGCTTGAGGCTCTCCACTATATGATGATGTGAAAACAATACAATAACAAATTCAAGTTGATGATGGTAATGATAGTTATGTTTGATGAACAACCATAGAGTTATATAGTTATATGTATGTATATATATATATATTGAATATATTGATGTAAAATCCAGGTGAAACATGATTTGGGGAGGATTGCCGGCTGTGTACGCCGGGACCGTGGGACGTGGACGTCGGAGACGTCGGTTTAGACTCTTCTCCAAGCGGATGGAGCAGCGAGATCCCCGTGGATATCCGTGGGTGGTGAAACTCACAACAGGATAACCTTTGATCCTCAGAAATATGACCCTCAAGGCTATGAAAGCCACCAAAATATGGTATTGCATAAATATGTATTTATATATATTATATATATATATATGTATAATTACAGTCGATCACCTTAACTGCCTCAAGCGAAGCATTTGGAAGCCTGAACTATTTGATTCACTTGACCCTACACTCGTGCTTCACCGATGACCACCTCAGTCCTTTGAGAACACCCTCACAACCTGCCTGTGACTCTGGCTAGGGACTCGCAGAACCATGCAGAACCCCGTCAAGACGCAGTCCTTCCCGAGTCCAGGCTCCTGCACTGCACTGCTCCATCCCATCGATTCCCCCCCCCCCCCCCCCCCCTCCCATTCCTTCCTCACGACCCCTTTTCAAGGCACGCCCCTCCGGATGGACTCCATGATCTCGTGCCGATAGTTCTCCTGAAATTGAAAGAACAGCGGCGATCCGGCGGTTTGGTTCGACAGCACCTCCAAAATAATCAACCCTAGTGTGCAGGTGTAGTCTGAGTGCTGTACTACTGCACTAGGACCTACGAGCTGCGAATTCCCTTCGTGGTCTACCTTACCTCTTGTCTTTTCCAGGATCTGCTCACCCGGAGCCCATGTCTCTCAAGCCGTCGGCGGGTGCGCCATCGCACCCGCAGCTCGAGCCACCCGACCAAGCGGAGCTTCTGGAAGCGCCGTGTTAAGGATCTGGAGCCCGCGGCCTGAAGACCCGGGACAGTACCGGGCGCCAGGTTCAGAGAAGTTGGCTTCGAGTGAGGAATTAGGGATGAGCTTCTCCTCTGAAAGCTGGTGAGCATCCGAGAAGGATGCGCTGGGTTTGGTATGTCGATCTCATTTCCGGCAGAGTCATCGGCGGTCACACAACCGGGAATCGAAATCATATCAACTTTCTCTGGATCTAGAACCCCGATGGATTTCTGCAGATGTTGGAACGTTGATACGATTTCACTCGGTGGCTGCATGTGGGCACCAAGTTTCACCCATTGGTCGGTCTCTGCGGTATCTCTCTCTCCCTCTTCCCCCTCTCTACAGACTGCCAGAACTGCTAGTGTATCCCACAGCTATCCCACAGGGACACTCCAACGCCTAAAAACTACAGAAGGCTATGGCTTCAGCAAAGCAATCGTGCACAAATTATGTTTGGAGATCTGATTCATCATACGCGGGCTCCGTCAAAATTGGCGCAAGACTGACTAGACTAAGCTTCCCCCAACTCCATACGACTGTCTTGGGGAGAAAACCCCAAACCCACATACCTGCTGAGTGTTGTTGGACAAAAGGCTGATTGATAGTTGGTCCAAAGTCCTCCGGTTTATCGTGAACATCTGGCCATTCGCGCAGAAAACCCTCGCCGTGGGTTACCGCGGCGCGCGCATCCATGGCCCCTTTTCTCGCCTCCATGCTGGCAGGCTCGAAGCGGCCCGTCCTGGAAAGAGGGACGGAGCTAAGATTCCGTCGCCAACCTAGAAGCACTCCTAGAAGCCTTTGTTCCTAGTAGCTTCTTGTTACTAGTAGTAATGGGCTCCAACCTACTAGCGATGGCCTCCAACCTAGTATCTAGCTGCTAATTTGGGTTTGGAAGTGGAAAGCGTTGATTTTGTAGAAGATGTCGGACTCAACATCGTGCGCTCAACATAGCTTGTATATATATATATATATTATCTGTGTGTGTGATTATATGTGTGTGTACACCACTATACACCCTCGAAGCTGACCACAATGGCCTACCTTCCTCGTTTTGGAGGTTGAGATCTTGACGTAATATCTAAATACATTCAATAATCTTAAGTTTTGAGGCGACATATTCCTCGGCACCTGTGGCAGCCTGTGCCCTCGCGCCTCTGCTCAATCGGCGGGATGAAGCTCGCATTCATCACCTGTCAGCAGTGTAGCAGTGCGGGTCCAAACCACGCTACATAGGCACGCGGGCGACCCATGATCAGTGCATGTGCTTCTTGCGCAGCCATCTAATTAGATGTGTTTGCCAAGAACACCATTGCAACCAGCGGCGCGCCCATCAACATGGTCACGCTGCCCCTTTGATGATCATCTTTCTAGGGTCTGGGATTCGCTATTGGCTCTCCTCTGGAAAACGACTCCAAGGATGATAAATGATCCCCAAAGATACAGTAATTCAGATCTAGAGTGATTTAGAGGAAACACCGCGGAAACCCACCTGGATCCCACCACAACAGGTGGTTGAGCCTACCAATATGGCGCCTCAATTGGCACTTGACCCACTGGTCGCACGGTGTGAGCACACACGACCCATCCGACCCACCGCCTGGTGGGAGCCCGGCCGTCTGCTTGACCTCAAAGCCCGGCCCATGTCGTCGGTGCGGACGCTCCTCGCACCTTCTGGGATGATCTCCCGCTTTTTGAGGATCAAAGACTCTCTGAGGATTGGCACACCGAGTCCTGTTTTATTGGTGCCCGCGGCGGACCCGAGGTCTGGTCGCCGAGAGGACGGCGGGGAGGAGGTCGGACCTTGTTCCCTGGGATCTCGGACGACATCAGCGTGCTGCCTCGCTCCTGGCATCGCTACTAGGAGCAAGGACGCTACTAGGGCTCCTGGCCGTACTACTAGGATCAAGAAGCTAGTGGAAGAACGGCTGAGGGAAGGCAGACGATTCCGTCTGAATTTCAGAGCCCCCCCCGCCCCCCCCCTTTCAACCGATGGTATGAGCCTCTTGGAAGCCCTCCCCTTCGGAACCAGCGTTGCCATCCACCGATTCAAAGCTTCAATCTCTCTCTCTCTCTCTCGTTCCTCTCTCTCTCTCTCTCCCTCTCTCTCTCTCTCTCCCTTTCTTGGCGAGAGTCTAGCCGTAGCGCAACACACTCTGACAAAGGGGAACCACACAGGTGGTAGCTTGTGTAGGTCACCAGCATATCTTGCTGATGTGGGGCATAGGCAAGTTGGTATGGAAAATCAACACATGTTCTTACTCTTCGTCACCACTGGGCTGCACGTTCTTCCTGTCGCAGCGGTCAACTTCCTGTACCACATTGCACCACCATTTGCCACTATGGTAATTTCCGGCCGCTGGTTGTCCAATGTTGTCCACATATTCTTTGATATTTCAACAAATCCATTTGATTGCGCTGGCAGCCCGCACCCGGGCTGACAATAGGACATCCTTGGTAACACAAAAGGGCCACAGGAATTCAGGGCGAGATACATTCTTACAACACAAGAAAAGGCTGTTGCGGATCAATCGGTATGTTATATTGTCTACTCATTGTGTTGTTTCCTCTCCAGAGGGTGCTTTGACGGACATCAAACTGCCATGTTGCCAATTGCTCTGAAATGCATATTGAGAGGTAAACAAGTGCATACATATATATATATATATGTATTGTATATATATATATATATTGGGGAATATATATGTGCATATGCATTCGTATCTATATGTGCATCAAAAATGTGTTTTTCGCCCACAAATGCTCATCCCCGCTTCTCTGAACGAACTCTACGAACGACCTTGGGGCCGACGCTAGACCAGCACGACACTCTTGGGGCGAATGAAGCTCCTTGCGCTCTCGCGTGGGTGTGAAGAATACGGAATCCATGCAGCCACGAGCGGCTCAGACCCAATATCCCTTCATTCATGTCGATTTATTTAACGTAATGTGTTCATTTCATGTCATGTAAACGTTCAACCGTTTTTTTGTTGGGTGGATGCATCGTCGCTGCCCCAACAGTCACGCTCTCATAGCTATCACAATTACCTCACTACCGTCAGTACCTCATTTGCAAGTTCTGCTGGTCCCAATTCCTCTATGTAGACTCTGCACAATGTCTAAACAAATTCTTCATGGCAAACTTCCCCTTGGATGTACACAAGTCTGGACCATGTTCATCATGTTTTTCAGGCTCCCTCCGTTCCTCCCAAAAAAAGAAAGTAGCACTTTCAAGAACGGGGAAAAAGAAGCACCTTCACTCGCTGGAACCGGGCGCCTGCAGGTCGGGCCGCAGGCCCTTGCCGTTGAAGACGATCCGACCTAACCGGGAGCCGTGCGAGCGCAGGCGCCGCGGAAGCCCGGTCGACCGATCCGCCGGGTCCGCTGTGGTTGGACCCGGCGCGAGCAGTGCGAGGGTTTCTTAGAGCCGAAGGTGCCGGGTCGATCTGCTGATGGTTTTTTTCAGTAGACGGGGGTATGCTTCAGTAGACCCCCCCCCCGGCTTTGGAGCCAGTGCAGAAGATGTTGCAGTGAATCACTCTATCTTGATGATCCTCTCCTGAGAGCACCTTCGATGAGAGTGATGTCCTGGTCAAACAAACAAGTCCCAGAATGTCCCAGAAGATCCAGAAGCAGGACCCCATGAGAGTTGGAAGTGTGTTAGTTGATCATAGTTGATCCACCAAGGACCAAATCCCTGTCAAACAAGTGGCATTTGATCCCATTTCCGATATGTCTGCCCCTTCACACTCCCAGGACGACTGACCCAAATGCGAAAATCCCAGGAAAACACCGGGCTCTGGATGATCACTCTGGGCTCAGAAATCAAAAAAGACGCACGTCTGAAAACCTCCCGATGCTCTCATCTCCGACCCACCCGATGAACGTCCCGCGGACGCTGAAACCGCCTGCTGCGCCGACGCCATTCTTCGTCCACGCCTGAAGGAGTCAATCGAAGTCGAGGTCGTCCCTAGTAGCGATGGCCTCCAACCTAGTAGCTTCTAGCTACTAGTAGAAATGGCCTCCACCCTAGGCCCTAGTAGCGATGGCCTCCAAGTCTGCCAGGCGGATCTAGCTGCTGGTGTGCACTGTTGAGGGGCCCAATTCGCTGACGAGTGTTCCAAATCATCCTTGGGGGCGGTATGGTGATGATGCAGGATCGTGTGGCACCCGTGGGAGCTCTGCACGTATGGTGGTTCGATGTGGCCGGGACTGCATGCCAGATGTTCCAAGCACTGGCGGTAGGCGGTAGACTGCTTGCAGAAGGGCATATTTTTTGAACAAGGGCGTTACAGACCGCTCGCTTCAGGTTTAGTGAGTTCTTGGCTCTTTCAGACACAAATGGAAGGAGAAAAACAAGCCAAACGGAGCCAACCAATGAGTTGTTTCTCTATCCATCCATGAGTTCTGACACAGAAAAGATGGCTCGTGCGTTGGAAAAGCAACGTCGTACTGGTGAAAACCCACATATATATATATATATTGGTTTGCTCAACCGATGAGATCCGATGAGTCTTGGCCTCCACCCTTCCCCGGCCTCCATTGCATGAGCGCCTCCCGTCCGCCGGTTTTCGCGTGCGCTGAAGCCTCCGGGGCGAAAACCGGGGGGTGGGGGCGCCGCCACTCTCTCGCTCATGACTTACTTACGTCCAGCTCCTGACTTACTTACGTCCAGCTCGTTCCAAGGCTCTGGCACTGTTGGGTGAAGGTTTCTCCACACAACTCCCGGGTCGCCGGGATGAAACCTCGGGGACGCGACCCGGGGACGCGACCGCGCTGGATCGATGGTGAGAATGTGCTCACACGCAGCGGGACACCTCGAAGGAAGCCAAGTCCCGGAAGCTTTCCCTGGGGATAAAGCGAAAGATGTATCAATATAGCCCATATATAACTATACTTACCAAAAGAGGTTAAGTGACCTGAACTAGGACCCGTAACCTGGGGTACCTATGGGATAGTCTATAGGGTCATTCAACCTCTGTTGGTATATGTCGTACAATACAAATATAATATATATATATATATACATATGTATGTGTGTATGTGGCATCACCTGCCACCATGACCACAGCCATCTCTCTCACCACCTGTCATGCATAGGGAGCGCCTGATATGACAGGGGGCAAGCTTGCCATCACTTGGGCAATCCCAACCATCATTGAAGCTTGGACCTGGGGCCAGTCTTTGGATCCCAGCTGCAGATCTGGATTTGGGGTACCTTTTTACTAAACACATCCTGTTTTGTGTGACTGTTCTTCTTTAACTCCAAATCCATCCCAACCATCCACGTTCTCCTCGCTTTTTTGGGGGCTGGAGTCGTGAATGGAGACTCCTGCCCTGCCTCGTTCGGTGGCACCAACTCAGTGCACCGTTCACTGCACCGAACTGCAACATCCCCAAGCTTGGAACATGAGGCCCCAGGCCCTTGTATTTGCAAATCGGAGGCATCGAGCGTAGTCTGTTGCTCAGGACTTGTGCCCGCTCCTCCTTGGACGCAAGGTATTTCACCGTCTTTTCTTGGTGCCGGGGCGAAAACACGAAAGAAACACGGCCCATCTTACACCAAATTCAGCCACAAAAACGTCAATGACTCCTGTTGAGACTAGATAGTGTAGCCATTTGTAGTCAAAATCTATCACCACCATGAGGATCAACTGATGATTTGGACCTTGCCCGGGCCTTGGAAAAAGGCTTTTCAAGGAGAATGGAGCACCGAGCATAGGATCTTGAATCCACACCCACCCACAAACGTGCAAGCTGCACCAAATTAAAATACACATACCCTATCCCTGTGCACTTATATATCCACCCCTATCGAGATTCATTCCGACAACTCAGACAAACGACCAGCGCAGCCAGCAACTCGCCCCCAGTTCGGCTCAACGTTGTCCCGCTTCGGCTGGGCTTCCGAGCAGGCGAGGAACCCATGGTTCCGGGCTCGGTGCCCAACATGCCGGTCACACCCCGCACCGGGGCGAGCGGCTTGGGTGTCTCCAAATCCCTTGTTGGGGTGCGGACAGCTGAGCCTGCAGACACTACTTTGGAAAAAAGAGAGAGAGGTGGACAAATCTGCCCTCCAAATCAAAGGATCGCCAGTTTGGACGCTTCTCTGGCCTTGTTTTTCTTCGGCGAAGACGACTGGAGCCAAGACGCCGCACCATTCGCCCTCCAAAGGACTGTTCTGCGTGGGACATGTGACACATGTTGCTTCACTGAAAGCCACGGAGGAATGACGTGACTCCAGGGCAGCCAACAAGTCTTGCAACCTAAGCTACCCCGCCAGAAATCGAAGTCACGCAAAGGAGATGAAATCGCAAAAACACGTTTGATGTCATCAAGGTGGTGTTCAAGCTTCCGCACGGATCACACGCAAACCATTCACCCATATCAACGGAAAATAATCTAGCAGCATGCAAAAAGAACATAGACTGTTGCCAACAAGACCCTGCACAAAAAGTCCAGCAAACCCTTTTTGTGGAAAGTTCACGACCTCAAGAGCTTGTCCTCTGCATGGCTGAAGCTCCATAGAAAGGCGAACGCACTACAACACCATCCAAAAGTCCCAGCAAATCCCTCTGACAACCTATACCCCCTCACAACTCGTGGCTCCAATTGAAAAAAGGATGCAAAAATAAAGCAAGGTCTCGATGGAGGGACACGCCACAGGAGATGCGGCACCAAGATCCACCCCCCCAGGCCGCGCTTTTCCGCCCCGTCGAGCCCTCTGGGCGCAGGCGGGGCGATGCACAGCGTCCGAAGTCGCAAACCCCAACCGGGCGCCCGCAGGGGGAAGACGTCTAGCTGCAGTATCTGCCCGGCCTGCGGCGACAGGACGTGGGGGGCGACCGGGGGGGGTGCCGGTGCCGGTGCCCGGCGTCAAGTGGAACCTCGTGCAGCCGAGAACAAGAACGGAGGTGACTTCAGAATCTCGAAAAAGGATTGCTGACACCACGATATTCAGAAAAGCGAATCCCTAAGAAATACCCTACAATTGTTAGGCATGTCACCGCATGTCAATCAACATCTGTTTCATTTCCCTTGGATGCCGCCAGCCCTCCACCCCCTCCACCCCCTCCACCCCCTCCACCCCCTCCACCCC